ACTAGCGTCCGTCCTGCGAGTCACTAGCGTCCGTCCTGCGGGTCACTAGCGAGTCACTAGCGTCCGTCCTGCGGGTCACTAGCGTCCGTCCTGCGGGTCACTAGCGTCCGCCCTGCGGGTCACTAGCGTCCGCCCTGCGGGTCACTAGCGTCCTCCTGCGGGTCACTAGCGTCCGCCCTGCGGGTCACTAGCGTCCGTCCTGCGGGTCACTAGCGTCCTCCCTGTGGGTCACTAGTGTCCGTCCTGCGGGTCACTAGCGTCCTCCCTGCGGGTCACCAGCGTCCGCCCTGCGGGTCACTAGCGTCCGCCCTGCGGGTCACTAGCGTCCGCCCTGCGGGTCACTAGCGTCCTCCCTGTGGGTCACTAGTGTCCGTCCTAGCGTCCTCCCTGCGAGTCACTAGCGTCCGCCCTGCGGGTCACCAGCGTCCGTCCTGCGGGTCACTAGCGTCCTCCCTGTGGGTCACTAGTGTCCGTCCTAGCGTCCTCCCTGCGAGTCACTAGCGTCCGCCCTGCGGGTCACCAGCGTCCGCCCTGCGGGTCACTAGCGTCCGTCCAGCGGGTCACTAGCGTCCTCCCTGCGGGTCACCAGCGTCCGCCCTGCGGGTCACTAGCGTCCGCCCTGCGGGTCACTAGCGTCCGCCCTGCGGGTCACTAGCGTCCGTCCTGCGGGTCACTAGCGTCCGTCCTGCGGGTAACTAGCGTCCGCCCTGCGGGTCACTAGCGTCCGTCCTGCGGGTCACTAGCGTCCTCCCTGCGGGTCACTAGCGTCCGTCCTGCGGGTCACTAGCGTCCGTCCTGCGGGTCACTAGCGTCCGCCCTGCGGGTCACTAGCGTCCGTCCTGCGGGTCACTAGCGTCCGCCCTGCGGGTCACTAGCGTCCGCCCTGCGAGTCACTAGCGTCCTCCCTGCGGGTCACTAGCGTCCTCCCTGCGGGTCACTAGCGTCCGTCCTGCGAGTCACTAGCGTCCGTCCTGCGGGTCACTAGCGAGTCACTAGCGTCCGTCCTGCGGGTCACTAGCGTCCGTCCTGCGGGTCACTAGCGTCCGCCCTGCGGGTCACTAGCGTCCGCCCTGCGGGTCACTAGCGTCCTCCCTGCGGGTCACTAGCGTCCGCCCTGCGGGTCACTAGCGTCCGTCCTGCGGGTCACTAGCGTCCTCCCTGTGGGTCACTAGTGTCCGTCCTGCGAGTCACTAGCGTCCGCCCTGCGGGTCACTAGCGTCCTCCCTGCGGGTCACTAGCGTCCTCCCTGCGGGTCACTAGCGTCCGCCCTGCGGGTCACTAGCGTCCGTCCTGCGGGTCACTAGCGTCCTCCCTGCGAGTCACTAGCGTCCGCCCTGCGGGTCACTAGCGTCCTCCCTGCGGGTCACTAGCGTCCGTCCTGCGGGTCACTAGCGTCCGTCCTGCGGGTCACTAGCGTCCGTCCTGCGGGTCACTAGCGTCCGTCCTGCGAGTCACTAGCGTCCTCCCTGCGGGTCACTAGCGTCCGTCCTGCGGGTCACTAGCGTCCGCCCTGCGGGTCACTAGCGTCCGTCCTGCGGGTCACTAGCGTCCTCCCTGCGGGTCACTAGCGTCCGTCCTGCGGGTCACTAGCGTCCGTCCTGCGGGTCACTAGCGTCCGCCCTGCGGGTCACTAGCGTCCGTCCTGCGGGTCACTAGCGTCCGCCCTGCGGGTCACTAGCGTCCGCCCTGCGAGTCACTAGCGTCCTCCCTGCGGGTCACTAGCGTCCTCCCTGCGGGTCACTAGCGTCCGTCCTGCGAGTCACTAGCGTCCGTCCTGCGGGTCACTAGCGAGTCACTAGCGTCCGTCCTGCGGGTCACTAGCGTCCGTCCTGCGGGTCACTAGCGTCCGCCCTGCGGGTCACTAGCGTCCGCCCTGCGGGTCACTAGCGTCCTCCCTGCGGGTCACTAGCGTCCGCCCTGCGGGTCACTAGCGTCCGTCCTGCGGGTCACTAGCGTCCTCCCTGCGGGTCACTAGTGTCCGTCCTGCGGGTCACTAGCGTCCTCCCTGCGGGTCACCAGCGTCCGCCCTGCGGGTCACTAGCGTCCGCCCTGCGGGTCACTAGCGTCCGCCCTGCGGGTCACTAGCGTCCTCCCTGTGGGTCACTAGTGTCCGTCCTAGCGTCCTCCCTGCGAGTCACTAGCGTCCGCCCTGCGGGTCACCAGCGTCCGTCCTGCGGGTCACTAGCGTCCTCCCTGTGGGTCACTAGTGTCCGTCCTAGCGTCCTCCCTGCGAGTCACTAGCGTCCGCCCTGCGGGTCACCAGCGTCCGCCCTGCGGGTCACTAGCGTCCGTCCAGCGGGTCACTAGCGTCCTCCCTGCGGGTCACCAGCGTCCGCCCTGCGGGTCACTAGCGTCCGCCCTGCGGGTCACTAGCGTCCGCCCTGCGGGTCACTAGCGTCCGTCCTGCGGGTCACTAGCGTCCGTCCTGCGGGTAACTAGCGTCCGCCCTGCGGGTCACTAGCGTCCGTCCTGCGGGTCACTAGCGTCCTCCCTGCGGGTCACTAGCGTCCGTCCTGCGGGTCACTAGCGTCCGTCCTGCGGGTCACTAGCGTCCGCCCTGCGGGTCACTAGCGTCCGTCCTGCGGGTCACTAGCGTCCGCCCTGCGGGTCACTAGCGTCCGCCCTGCGAGTCACTAGCGTCCTCCCTGCGGGTCACTAGCGTCCTCCCTGCGGGTCACTAGCGTCCGTCCTGCGAGTCACTAGCGTCCGTCCTGCGGGTCACTAGCGAGTCACTAGCGTCCGTCCTGCGGGTCACTAGCGTCCGTCCTGCGGGTCACTAGCGTCCGCCCTGCGGGTCACTAGCGTCCGCCCTGCGGGTCACTAGCGTCCTCCCTGCGGGTCACTAGCGTCCGCCCTGCGGGTCACTAGCGTCCGTCCTGCGGGTCACTAGCGTCCTCCCTGTGGGTCACTAGTGTCCGTCCTGCGAGTCACTAGCGTCCGCCCTGCGGGTCACTAGCGTCCTCCCTGCGGGTCACTAGCGTCCTCCTGCGGGTCACTAGCGTCCGCCCTGCGGGTCACTAGCGTCCGTCCTGCGGGTCACTAGCGTCCTCCCTGCGAGTCACTAGCGTCCGCCCTGCGGGTCACTAGCGTCCTCCCTGCGGGTCACTAGCGTCCGTCCTGCGGGTCACTAGCGTCCGTCCTGCGGGTCACTAGCGTCCGTCCTGCGGGTCACTAGCGTCCGTCCTGCGAGTCACTAGCGTCCTCCCTGCGGGTCACTAGCGTCCTCCTGCGGGTCACTAGCGTCCTCCCTGCGGGTCACTAGCGTCCGCCCTGCGGGTCACTAGCGTCCTCCCTGCGGGTCACTAGCGTCCGTCCTGCGGGTCACTAGCGTCCGTCCTGCGGGTCACTAGCGTCCGTCCTGCGGGTCACTAGCGTCCGCCCTGCGGGTCACTAGCGTCCGCCCTGCGAGTCACTAGTATGCGAGGCGCTTGGGTGGTGTAGGCAGGCATCCCTGGAGGCTTCGGGGGTTCGGCTACAGGGTTTAATGTGGCTACCAATAATAACGGCTGTGCTGCACATTTTCAGTGTTTTCTTATCAACATTTTTTTTTCATCAACAATTGTAATTTAAAGGACGATGAAATAAAATGATGCAGACACAATTTAAATGCGGGAGACCACTTATCACTTGCGGGACGCAGGACAAAGCTTCAAATTTTGGGACTGGGTCACCTTAGTCTCTTGGCACAGAGTACTTTTTCAATTTCAGTCGATTGGCAGGAGATTTACACTTTGCCAGCTGTGATAATGCTGACCGAGGGGCCGAGACTGCCAGGACTATCAGATAAAAATGCAGCGCTGGGCAAAAACAGGGTTTGAACTATTGGAGACTAAGCAGGAGTAGCAGAATAATGTCACGGCTTACAGTGCATGCTCAGCATATCATGGATTCGGTCACAGTGAAGTACAGTTTTAATCCCCAAAAGCAGGACTTCTGCACCAGTGTCCAAGCGGCATCAAGCGCAGGCCTTCATGCTTTACAAACTAGTGTAAAAAAGCATGTGTCTTTTCTTATACAGTGTGTGTGTGTGTGTGTGCGTGCGTGCGTGTGTGTGCAGTACAGGAACGTGTCACAGCCATACAGCTTCATGCAAATGCTTTAGTCAAATGATCAGCTCACTTACAGCCATGGGTTAGGATACATTGACATTCAAAATGCGTAACACACACACACACACACTTCACATTCCCGTCCGCCTCTGCAAACAAAACATCCCTGTTTTAAACAACAGTTCCTGCAGTGCTGAGATGAGCTGGTTCTCCTCAAAGCCACATGAGAAGTGTGGACAGACCAGCAGGAGAACCAGAGAACACGCTCGTGTGTGTGTGTGTGTGTCTGGCTTCAGTCATTTCCTCTCTTCTGCTTTCCTCTGTTTAAACCCCAATAAATGAAGAGACGAACGGAATGCTGTGATTCCTCTGCGCTACACACTCAACGGCCCGTCAAGCTTTTTAGAGGAACTGTTACTAAACGATTGCACTCTTTCAAAATCATGTATCCGCCATTTGTACTATTATATGAGGAAAAACATACAACAAACACCATTACAGTCTCAGGCTATAACAGACGCGTTTATCCAGATACAAACTAGCATGTGTTTGTGTGCGTGTGTTTGTCTGTGTGTTAGTAAGAGAGAGGGTGTGTGAGTGTGTTTGTGTGTGTGTGTGTGTGTGTGTGTGAATGAGTGAGTCACTCCACAGAAGGACACAGACCCAGTGTGTTCTACTCATACACACCAAACTACACTAATAAACCATTTTTAGTATATTCTCACTGTCCATCTGATGCATAAACACGTCTCGTCGCAGGAGGTGAAGCTTTAAAGAGGATGGGCTACTTGCACAACTACTTCCACAAAGCATTCAGCACACACACACACACACACACACACACACACACACACACACACACACACACCTTCATCTATAATCTATGATGCCTTCATCTATAATGCGGGACACAATTTGCTTCAAATCAGATTAGAAAATGTCAGTAATTACCTTATTCTGATCAGTCCAGTAAAGGTAGAAGCCCTGAGGGTCGACCCGTAGCGTCACCGGCGTAACTGTGGTGCAGTCCTACAAAACACCAGACGAACACATCAAAACACCAGACAATCACATCAAACCACATCAAAACCCCATACAATCACATCAAAACACCACACAATCACATCAAAACACCAGACGAACACATCAAAACACCAGACAATCACATCAAACCACATCAAAACCCCATACAATCACATCAAAACACCACACAATCACATCAAAACACCAGACAATCACATCAAAACCTCACATAATCACATCAAAACACCAGACAATCACATCAAAACACCAGACAATAACATCAAAACCTCACACAATCACATCAAAACACCAGACAATCACATCAAAACACCAATCACATCAAAACACCAGACAATCACATCAAAACACCACACAATCACATCAAAACCCCACACAATCACATCAAAACCTCACACAATCACATCAAAACCCACACAATCACATCAAAACACCACACAATCACATCAAAACACCAGACGAACACATCAAAACACCAGACAATCACATCAAACCACATCAAAACCCCATACAATCACATCAAAACACCACACAATCACATCAAAACACCAGACAATCACATCAAAACCTCACATAATCACATCAAAACACCAGACAATCACATCAAAACACCAGACAATAACATCAAAACCTCACACAATAACATCAAAACACCAGACAATCACATCAAAACACCAATCACATCAAAACACCAGACAATCACATCAAAACCCCACACAATCACATCAAAACCTCACACAATCACATCAAAACACCAGACAATCACATCAAAACCCCACACAATCACATCAAAACCTCACACAATCACATCAAAACCTCACACAATCACATCAAAACCCCACACAATCACATCAAAACACCACACAATCACATCAAAACACCAGACAATCACATCAAAACCTCACACAATCACATCAAAACACCAGACAATCATCAAAACCCACACAATCACATCAAAACCTCACACAATCACATCAAAACACCAGACAATCACATCAAAACCCCACACAATCACATCAAAACCCCACACAATCACATCAAAACACCAGACAATCACATCAAAACACCAGACAATAACATCAAAACCTCACACAATCACATCAAAACACCTGACAATAACATCAAAACACCAGACAATCGCATCAAAACACCAATCACATCAAAACACCAGACAATCACATCAAAACACCAGACAATCACATCAAAACCCCACACAATCACATCAAAACCTCACACAATCACATCAAAACACCACACAATTACATCAAAACCCCACACAATCACATCAAAACACCAGACAATCACATCAAAACCCCACACAATCACATCAAAACCTCACACAATCACATCAAAACACCACACAATCACATCAAAACCCCACACAATCACATCAAAACCTCACACAATCACATCAAAACCCCACACAATCACATCAAAACCTCACACAATCACATCAAAACCCCACACAATCACATCAAAACACCACACAATCACATCAAAACACCACACAATCACATCAAAACACCACACAATCACATCAAACCACCAGACAATCACATCAAAACACCACACAATCACATCAAAACCTCACACAATCACATCAAAACACCAGACAATCACATCAAAACCTCACACAATCACATCAAAACACCACACAATCACATCAAAACCTCACACAATCACATCAAAAACACCACACAATCACATCAAAACCTCACACAATCACATCAAAACACCAGAGAATCACATCAAAACACCACACAATCACATCAAAACACCAGACAATCACATCAAAACCTCACACAATCACATCAAAACACCAGACAATCACATCAAAACACCACACAATCACATCAAAACACCAGACAATCACATCAAAACACCAGACAAACACATCAAAACACCACACAATCACATCAAAACACCAGACAAACACATCAAAACACCACACAATCACATCAAAACACCACACAATCACATCAAAACACCACACAATCACATCAAAACACCAGACAAACACATCAAAACACCACACAATCACATCAAAACACCAGACAATCACATCAAAACACCAGACAATCACATCAAAACACCACACAATCACATCAAAACACCAGACAATCACATCAAAACACCAGACAAACACATCAAAACACCACACAATCACATCAAAACACCACACAATCACATCAAAACACCACACAATCACATCAAAACACGACACAATCACATCAAAACACCAGACAAACACATCAAAACACCACACAATCACATCAAAACACCACACAATCACATCAAAACACCAGACAATCACATCAAAACACCAGACAATCACATCAAAACACCACACAATCACATCAAAACACCACACAATCACATCAAAACACCACACAATCACATCAAAACACCACACAATCACATCAAAACACCAGACAAACACATCAAAACACCACACAATCACATCAAAACCTCACACAATCACATCAAAACCCCACACAATCACATCAAAACCCCACACAATCACATCAAAACACCACACAATCACATCAAAACACGACACAATCACATCAAAACACCAGACAAACACATCAAAACACCACACAATCACATCAAAACCCCACACAATCACATCAAAACCTCACACAATCACATCAAAACCCCACACAATCACATCAAAACACCACACAATCACATCAAAACACCACACAATCACATCAAAACACCACACAATCACATCAAACCACCAGACAATCACATCAAAACACCACACAATCACATCAAAACCTCACACAATCACATCAAAACACCAGACAATCACATCAAAACCTCACACAATCACATCAAAACACCACACAATCACATCAAAACCTCACACAATCACATCAAAACACCACACAATCACATCAAAACACCACACAATCACATCAAAACCTCACACAATCACATCAAAACACCAGACAATCACATCAAAACACCAGACAATCACATCAAAACACCAGACAATCACATCAAAACACCAGATAATCACATCAAAACCTCACACAATCACATCAAAACCTCACACAATCACATCAAAACACCACACAATCACATCAAAACACCAGACAATAACATCAAAACCTCACATAATCACATCAAAACACCAGACAATCACATCAAAACACCAGACAAACACATCAAAACCTCACACAATCACATCAAAACACCACACAATCACATCAAAACACCAGACAATAACATCAAAACCTCACATAATCACATCAAAACACCAGACAATCACATCAAAACACCACACAATCACATCAAAACCTCACACAATCACATCAAAACCTCACACAATCACATCAAAACACCAGACAATCACATCAAAACCTCACACAATCACATCAAAACACCACACAATCACATCAAAACCTCACACAATCACATCAAAACACCACACAATCACATCAAAACACCAGACAATCACATCAAAACCCCACACAAACACATCAAAACACCACACAATCACATCAAAACACCAGACAATCACATCAAAACCTCACACAATCACATCAAAACACCAGACAATCACATCAAAACACCACACAATCACATCAAAACACCAGACAATCACATCAAAACCCCACACAAACACATCAAAACACCACACAATCACATCAAAACACCAGACAATCACATCAAAACCTCACACAATCACATCAAAACACCAGACAATCACATCAAAACACCACACAATCACATCAAAACACCAGACAATCACATCAAAACACCAGACAAACACATCAAAACACCACACAATCACATCAAAACACCAGACAATCACATCAAAACACCAGACAAACACATCAAAACACCACACAATCACATCAAAACACCACACAATCACATCAAAACACCAGACAATCACATCAAAACACCAGACAAACACATCAAAACCCCACACAATCACATCAAAACACCACACAATCACATTCAAAACACCAGACAATCACATCAAAACACCAGACAATCACATCAAAACACCACACAATCACATCAAAACACCACACAATCACATCAAAACACCAGACAAACACATCAAAACACCACACAATCACATCAAAACACCACACAATCACATCAGTGTCAGCACTGCACACTTGCTATTTTATTATAGTCAATATAATGAATAGTCAAGTAAGTTACAATTATTTATATAGCACTTTTTACAATACATATGGTTTCAAAGCAGCTTTCAGAGATAACAGAAAAATGAAAAGTTAGTTTCTATAAGAAAAAAACTACAGTAGTCAGAGTCCAGCTTAAGTTCAATGATTTTTCATTTTGTTGTAATAAAAGTTATTAATTTACTTAATTTATATATACGTATATAGCGGCTTTGGAGAAAACCGTGATGTCCCCAACTAAGCAAGACAAGAGACGACAGAGGAACCAGAACTCCTCAGTGCAGAATGGAGAAACCAGACTCAGTCGCTCAGTTTCTCTGGCCAACAAACAGTGTGTGATTATTATCCAGGCATTACAGGTCAGAGGTCAAATTGAATCTGAACATTCAGGATATTATCCAGTTCCATAACAAATTTGATGCATCAAATGACTGTGCAAGAGTAACATGGGAAGATGAGAAGAATCAGAAATATGTCATGTTTGTGTTGATGTGAGAAATGAAAGAGAAGGACAGATGTGAACTAGAGTAAACAGAGCACTGTAGTTCCTGCAACACAAACCTTGTGAATGAAACAGAGTTGAGCGTGAGAGACAAGAGCAGCTCGTGTTTCATTTAACCCTCAGGACTTCACATAGCAACTGCAAATATTACTGGAGCTCTATAAAAAGACCAGCACGCTTTTGTGGAGGAACGCAGTGGCGTTTTATAGTCCCTAAACGTCAGCAGGGGCCGATTACGCACACACATGAGCGCTTTAGTATCAGTCCACAACACCACATCTGCGACCAGTGTGCTCTGAGAAGAGATAAACACCACAACTTTTACGAGCGTGTCCGATCAAGGATACAGTCAACAACTCTGACCGGTTCCTGTTTCTACCTGATTTATCACTGGAAGGCTGTTAGATGCAGATTCTGGCACTGTAAGACAAACACACTGGCAGAGAAACCAGGTTGTAGATCCTGAAATTAAAGTTTCAAATCACTTAGCCTCCCTAAACACTGAAACACTGAAGCCTCCGTTACAAACGAGCCGATCCGATGGTTTACACACAGAGAACGTCTCGCTTCGATCTCCACGTAATCTCACTGCTGTCTGAAGAAACAGTTGCGATCCTACGGGATCTGCAGTCACAGAGAGTCCTCCTGCTTCTCCCAGTGAGGGGATTTAAAGTCAAAGAGGGAAATCAATCAATGGCTGGAGAGATGAGCTCTGGATTCCTGAAGGGTTTTTGTTACTGAAACACAGTTATTTTCGATGGGGGTTTTATTACTATCCATTCACTACCCTGAAAGGTCTCATTTAGTCATTTAGCGGACGCTTCTCTCAGATCACCCGAGCAGAGACTGTTAAATGTTCCTCAGGTTAGATTGAAGACTAGAGGAGATCCAGCTTTTGCCGTTGTTGCACCAAAACTGTAAGACAGCCTTCCTGTTTTCCTGCCGCTACACTGCATGAGTTCAAAGCAGAACCCTAACCCGATCATTTTTCTTTGGCTTATAATTGTGTTCAGTCCAGTAATCTGCTGATGATGACCGACATAGTGTACAGCACCTTGGTCAACAATTGTTGTTTTTAGTGGTGCTACATAAATAAAGTTCCTTTGAATTTGATTGGATACGAGCATTCATTCTACAATCAATGTCTCTCTTCATGCCGTGGAAGAGAGTTTCTCATCTTCAGGTAAAGCTGAAGTTATCTCTGTGGTTTAGTTGTTCCCCCATGAAGCTCTATATCCGCATTTTGTTTTCCTAATTGAACTCCCACAGGCAGCCTTGACCTTTTATGGCAGGAGAGGAGTATCGGAAAGGGTTAGGGGAAATTATGGGAACGAGGAAACATTACTTTGAAGAGAATCGAAACATGTCCATGTTCACTTGCAAGGTGCATATACTGCCATCAGTTATTAATAAAGGTAATTTCCCTAAACATGATGTCACACAAACAGCGCTAATAATCCATTACAGCTGTAATAGATGCAGCTATGAAAATATGACAACAACGGTATAGTGCAATACTCTATTCTGACACTGAAGAATACCTTTGTTTAAAATGTATTTTCCAATCAAAAAGTCATCTTACACAACACATAAGAGAGAATCACTGTAAATGTAAATTCTGTCACCATATCCGTCTTTCTCTAAGTTACACTGAGATTATGATGTTCCCAGGAAAACGTTCACTCGGGTTTGCAACGACATGAGGGAGAGTAGACGGTGACAGAAGGTTCATTATGGGGTGGACTAGCTTTTTAATAGTTTTCAAAAAAACAAATAAAAAATTCTAATTTAAGACACATAAAAACGCAATTCTGTAGTAGACCAGCATTGTGACTTTGACTGACCCTGACAGCTCGCGCTAACACTGATCCACAAGTACACTGAGAATCTAAATCTGCCATGAATGTGACTTACCTCGTCCCACTTCATGAACTTGTCCCCATTCCTGAGCTTCTCGGGCACGGACACGCGTTTGAGCTGAAGCGCGTGAACCCCCGGCTGCGCTCCCGCCATGACGCGCGCGGACCTCACGCGAGCGATTCTGCTTCAGGAAGATCTCACTGATGAGACTCTGCTAACGCGCCCGATGCTCGCCACTCTGGCAAGCGCTCAGGATTGGTGCATGTGTGCGGTGTTACGCGCACTGAGACCGATGCGCGCTCCCGTTGCTAACAGTCCGTGCGCAGGATCGCGTTATGATGAAAACTCGTTTCACGCCTTGTACAATGTAAAACAGATGTAACAATAAAGTGAAAGATACATTTGTGAACGTGACAGGGGAAATTACTCTGCATAAGTGTGACCATCCTATAACTGGGTTAGACTGCATTAATTAAACAACCGGCTGTTCTTTGAAACTGAATTAAAGTACAAAGTACGAAATTACTCAATTTGACTCGGTGTGTGGTTATCTGAGAGTAAAACTCAACAAATCGTGACTAAAGGTTTTTAGATTCGTTTTTTTTATTTTTCAACTGAGGCTGTAAGTACAAAGAACAGGTATTTACTGAACAGGTTCTCTGATTTAAAGTTGTTGAGTTGCTCAATGTTCATCTCTGATCCCATCTCGTGGTTGTCTTTAAAATAACAAGTCTTTACAAATTCACATAATGTGGACATGTGTTTTTAAACGCCTCTTCTGCTCCTCAAAGCTGCATTTAGTTGCAGATGCCGTCAAAACACAAATATAGTGAAAAACTAGTACAATATAAAATAACCATTTTCTATATTTTTCTTTAAATAAATTATTTCAGAGTCATTCTGTGAAAGCAAAACACATTACTCCAGTCTTCCATCAGAAATCACTCGAAAATGAGTTATGGAGCTCAAGAAACATTTCTTACTTAAGGACTGTTTGTTTTGAGTTAGAGGAACAGCACAAAATAAGCCTGTAAGTTGAAACATCTGAACAGAGTTTACTGAAGATAAAGTTATGAGTGAGAAGATCCACAGAAACACTGCATTATCCTCCAGGAACCACTGTGTGTCTTTCTTGTGTCGTGTTCTCGTGAAACAATTGCCACCAACGATCAACTTACGATGCGTTTGGGAAACACAGCTCTGCAAAGTTGAAGAAGGTGTGTGTGTGTGTGTGTGTGTGTGTGTGTGTGTGTGTTGTGTGTGTGTGTGTGTGTGTGTGTGTGTGTGTGTGTGTGTGTGTGTGTGTGTAGCGTTCATGTCTGTTGCTCAATTTCAATTTATAGTAGTCTGAAGCCTGAACTGCAGCCGCAAGCAAACGTGTGATTGACTCGCGGAACAACTCGAACCGGCGTCATGTTCAGGAGAAAGCCTGATCCCGAAACAGGAGAACAGAAGGAAACCAGAGGACGCTACACATGGGAAAACCACAAACCAACGCAGATTCAAGAAGGACAATGGTGTAACAGGAACACAGGCCACATCGTCAGAGCAAAGAGTACTTCGAGCATTCAATGCCGCTATGAGTGATGGAGAAACACTCTTTGGCATGTGTACAAACTGATGCATTGAACAAAGTGAAAGACTGTTGAGTGTCATGATGATGGCAGACTTGCAAACCTTGAAACTGATACAGAATCGTGTCAGTCAGCCTCGAATGAGGGAATGTTGTTCAATGACATCTAGGGTGCTTCTCAATATCCCTCCTCGTCTCCTCGCTCCTCCGTCCTCCCTCCTATGACCCGGAAACCGATCGAGCTCAGCCATCTTGAAGGACATCTCAATTCTCTAATTGCACCGTGAGGAGTCGAGGATCGAGGAGATAGGAGGAGTCATAAGCGAGGATACACAGGTGCATCCTACGCGGAACTGTTATACTGACTAAACGTGACGCACGTGTCAATTCTCCTCCCCCTTCACATCGGTCACAATCATTTTAATTTATACTTTACCTTTGCAGTTTATATAAACCACACATCTCAGATATTTCAACAGTATAGCCTATCTTTATTATTATTTATTATGAATTTATTAAATGGCCAAGCTTCAACATCATAAGGGCAGATCCTTTTAGCGCTGCTGATGACACTGTGGAGTGACGCTCGAGTGATCAAGTATTCCAATGGATATAAAAAAGCTTTTATTCGATTCCTCTGTCCTCCTTTCCATTCCTCCAGTGGAGCTGAGACGCAAGGGAAGGAAGCAATGAAGGAAGCAAAGAAATGAGAAGCACCCCTGGACGGCCGTAGACGAGGACGCGATCCCAGCGTGAGCAAGGCTTCATCTCGGGACCAGTAAAGGGCCAGTTCACTTCATCATTTACTCTTAGGGGGCTTTCACACTAGTAGTTTAGTTCGGAACGGGGTACGGTTCGCATGAAAAATCGCTAATGTGAACGCTGTCATGGGACCCGGGTGCGCACTGGGGTACCGAACCCGAGACTGCATGGAGGAGGCAATGGCGCCACCAGGGGGTGGCCAGGGGTGGCCATGGCCACCCCTGGCCGACTCCTGGCCACCCCATTGGCCACCCCAATGGCCAGTATTAATTTTTGTAGCATCAGTTATGCATTTTATAAATAAGTCAAAAATATTCTGAAGTAAAAGAAGACGGGGAATTATGTGTCGTGAAGTGCTTTTTAAGTGCCAAATGGTATACTGTTACAGCAGCTAGGTGTGTTTTTGCCACGTTTGGACAGGCAGGGATGCAAACAGCGCGCTTTTCGGCGCCTCCCGCTTTTTTCACGTCAGTTTGGGTGACAAAGTCTTCTGAAGTCATTCCATAGCTTAATGTGAGGGACAGAAGTATATTTACATCATTAAAGTATAAACTCGTTTTCCCTCCTCTGCGACTGTCATCATTCTCCATTCATATTCAAACAGCACGCGCGCCTCTTGGATGCACGGTAAAACTCTCTCCAATATGATATATTGACATAAATGCATGATCTGTAGATAAAAGTCTGTATATTCGCATAAAATTACTTTATTTTCTTGGAGTTTGTTGCTGTTTTTAAACGACTCACTACCGTGTTCTGTTAGATCACACATACATATCACAAGGATTATGAATCGGCATCAAACGCACAATAACTGTGAAACAAAGGAACAAATCGCACTAGGATTTGTGCGCTCAACATTTTTTCGATTTGTGACATGAGCTTTTAAATGCGCACTTCTGAAGCGCAGTGCTGCTGCACACTGACTCCATGTTGCCATTTGAGCACATCATTCTGCACCCGCGATGCGCATACACGCTGTGTGCTCTCTGTTTTTCATGTTATCATGGTTTGCGCACTGAAATATTATTAAAAGCCAATATATTTTGTTATACCTAGCCTGCTCAATACATTTTAAATAAGCATAATTTAATTGTATATAATTTATTTGTAGTTTAGGCTATGCACTTCTGAATTCTTGACATTAATATATAAATATAAAATTGTGACATGATTGCCTGATTGAATTTTAAAAGAGAACTAATAGTAATTTGTTTTTATTAACATATTTAGATTTTATAAAATTACTGTGCAGATTTTTTCAAGAATTACTTTTTGCTGCTGATGTATACACTCATTAAGTGTATTAAAAATTCATAATACATTTATGTAATATTTAAAGGTGTTAACTGTAATCTTACACTGCAAACTAATAACTTAAAAATGATTAAATTCATCACAATTATGTAAGTATCTGGAAATTTGCTGTGGGGCAAGGACCCTTATATATCATATAATATATATCATTATATACAATGTAATATATATTAGTTGGGCCCTACTAATATCATTAGTAACATTAAATATTACACAATAAACCAAAGTATATCAGTAGGAGTTTCCTTAAGTCTTTCTGATAGTTTTCTACAGGCTGGTTTATTACAACAGTAGAAAACAATTCTGAAATTATGGTTTATACTGTAGTTTTGGTGTGCCACCCCAAGATTTTTACTGGCCCCATCTGGCCACCCCTACGAAAAATTTCTGGAGGCGCCACTGGGAGGAGGTGGTCTGAGTTCGGTTGGTTCGCGTGTATGTGAAAGCAGCACGGACTCGGGCACACACTTGTTCAGGAAGTAATGTATCCTGCGCATGCGTTTTAGCTTATTGTGATGTATTCAGTTAAATAAAACACTTGTAAGGGATGATAGTGTTGATGATTGATTTACCGCGAGAGTGTGTAGGCTATTCGTGCATTGCGCGCGTGCCGTGGAATCAGAGCAACACATTTGGAAATCCACTGTCTCCTCAAAAGAGTCCGTTTGCAAGCAGTTCACGCACAGTAAACCTGTATTGTTCACTCAACTGCTCACGATAGCAGCACAATAATAATAAAAACAATATTTACCCACGTTCTGCTTTCTATCATGCGCTTCGCACGTTCGCGATGACGTCATATGCACGCAAACGCAACAGGGTTCGATAGAATCAAGTTGAGTGTAAAATCAGACCAAAGCTGCGGGGGCGCCGGGAACAAACGCGCTCGGGCTCGGACCGCAGCAAACGAGCCCAGTATATAAAAGCCCCTTCCCAGTCTCTCCCTCAAGCTGTTCAGACCGGCATGAGTTCCTTTCTGCTGAATACACGTCCGTAACCAGTTGATGGATCCCATTAGGACTCCCACAGTAGGAAACAATACGGAATTGAGTGGGATCCATCAACTGGTTATACCGACATTTTTCAAGATATCTTCTTTTAAAATGAGTTAACTCTTGATGTGCCGGCCGATGTCAAGGGTTTCCAGATCTAGATCTGAACCAAAGATGGAGGAATAGATTAATGGACACAATCATCTAACCTGTTGCAGTTTTGCTACTATTTTCAGTAGCACCCCAGTGCAGAACATGAGATCCACGGGGAGGAGTCGGATCACGATCCAAGGGGTGGAGATGGGTAGGATTAGGGTTGGGTTTAGGGATTAGGGGGTGGAGTTGGTTAGGTTTAGGTGTATGTAAGGTGGGAGGAGTTGGATCTGGATCTGACTCCTCCCCATGGATTTCATGTTCCGCAGTGAGGACCATCTCACTATTTTCACAAGTAGGCTACGGTGTACATTATCACAACAGATCATCAAAAGTGCACTTTTTGCAAACATTTCAGCTTTGTTTCAACTGTGTTAGTAGCTACAATACACAACATCATGACGGTTTCATCTATAAACATTTCCTTCACAGAAACTGCCAGTCATAAATCTCTTTTAAGTCATAAGTCACTTTTAACTCATTTGCATCTCTTCTTGTTTACTTTAATACATTTATCTATTAATGAAATCCACTGCGATCTCTAAACTCTGGCCAGTTGATAATACCTAGCATATCTAAATCGACTGCAGGCGGGAGATCCTTTTCTATTTAGCACTAAAACTCTGGAACAATCTTCCTGACATTGTCCGGGAAGCAGACACACTCTGTCACTCTATCTCTCTCTCTAATCTAGCAGACACATTACACACTATAGACTTCCTTAACTCAGAATTAGACTGTCATGGTGCTGATATCCTTCTCTGCCTCCCTCTCCTGGTCAGACTCGTTATTACATCCTCTAACACTTCCACTTTCACATTCAAGGCTTTTATTGCTGACTGAGAAGTCTCACAAGTTTTTTAGGTGAAAAAATACGGTAAGTTGTTGAGTAAGGGCAGTTCAATGACAGATCTGAGGCCTCAACCTTCAGCGCTTTGTTTCTGGTTTAGTTTTGCCCAAGTTTGACGTGACCGTAATGGGACTGAAAGTTGAGTCTTGTGCCAAGTGAGTGATGCTTTATTTTCTTGTCTTGTGGTTGGTCAGTTCTTTATCTTGTTCTGATGTTTCCCAGATGTACATATGGCCAACCTGTACCTGGTCAAGCCTCAGTGGAAGTGTGCCGTGATCCATTTCCATCCAGTCTGCTTCATCATGACCAGACAGTGCCTGACTCAAACCGCAGGTGTGTGACTCCTGCCTTACCAATGAGGGTTTTCCTTTTGCCTGTGCTTGACTTAATTAATTATCTTTCTTCTCCTACCAGATGAATGCCACGGGCTGTGCCTCTCTTACTGTAGATGCGTCAGTGTTTTTCAACACCAAATTTGAAGACCAAATGCAAGACTCATTTCTTGTAAATGTGAATGTTACTGAGGAGGGAACAGGTGAGCTATTGGCTGATCTCAACCATATACTCTTTATCATCTTTACAAGACATGCACTTTAAGCCACAAAGTTGATATTCTTCACTGTTTGTTTGGACTTTCTCTCGCAGATGTAATGGTGTCAAAATCTGCAATGGTGTCCATTACGTTTGTAGTCGGCAAAGTCACATTTGTGGACCTCCTGGTTCCTTATTTTGAACCTGGATCAATGCTTAATCGAAAGACAAACAAAATGTCATCCCTTATCGCAGAAGCCTTTAAATTGGTTCCCTTTCCTAACCTTGATCATTCCTAACAGATATCTGTGACTTGTTTTGATAAGACTCCAATTGCAAACAAAGCTGTATATCTCTTGGAGGGGAGCAATTTGTTGGAGAGGCTGGTAGCTACAGCGCTGACATGATCTATATGGTGAGTGGACATTAGTTTTAAGTTTTCTGGTGTGTTTGTTCCGCAACTTGCACACCCATGTCTTCTGTCAGGTCTTATCTAAAGGAGTGATCATCCTCCATGGATTTCAGACGGTTAAAGCAAAGGCTGGTGATTCGGTCGCAAGCGGCTCCGTGACGTTCCAGTTGTCTGTCAGCGTCGATATGGCTCCAGCAGTGCAGATTCAGGTCTACGGTGTTCCTCCCAGTGAGAATGTAGTTGCTTCTAGTGTGCCGTTTGACACCGATATGTGTTTCCAGAACCAGGTACTGTATGATGTGGCTATTTTTCAATTTGGGAATGTTGGTGTGTGTCCTGCAGTGTGTTGGTCCGTGTTCCAGGTGTCTCTGCAGTTTTCTCCAGGGAAACGTTCGGATGGATCTCTGTTGCCTCAGTGCTGTAGATCAGAGCCTACGGATCATGGTGCCAGGAAGACATCTGAAAGGGTATCTGTGTAAAAATAAACTGTAAAAAAAAAACCCTACTGTTTAAAATGTAGTCTTTTGTGTTGTAATGGTCTATACTAGCTTTTTTCCCCTGTTTTTTGTTGTTTTAAAAAAACTAGCTGTTACTGAATGTGAACTTTTATTTGACGGGCGGAAGTAAGTCCGTCCGGAGACCCAGCCCATGTTTGTTTTCTTCTACAAACAAACTTGCATTATTTTCATGTTATCACTGTGAAGCTGCTTTGATACAATCTGTATTGTAAATGGCGCAGTATAAATAAAGGTGACTTGACTTAAATAATCATTTAGATTTATATATTGATTCAATAGAACTTGTTTGTTTGCTATTTCTTTATACATAAGTGATTTATTGATATTATGTTCAAAGTGTGTGCACATGTTTTTTGTGTGTGTGACATCAGATCACTCTTGTTAAGGTGAATATAAAACACTGTATGCTAAAGTTAGTGTCAGGTTCGACATTCATCACGAGTTTTCTCTTGCAACTGTTGGCAATCTTACAAAGATATAAATAATACCACTTTGTTTGAGCAATATGCAACAATTGTATATCGACGTGAAATATTAATTTCAAAATCACCAACGTGCATTATAGCCGCATATTTACACCTGAGAATGTGTTGATGCCTAGGGCAATGTCTGCCAAGTCCACAAACTACGTTAAAACGTATAATCCGAATTGATTACAATTTCAGACGTTCATTTCAAATGGGAAAGCTTGCAGGAAGTTCCTATTGGTGAGAGACAGACTGACTTACTACAGGTAGCCTACATTTTTTAACTTCATGTACAATAATAATTTTCATTAAATATACTGTAATTCACTGAGATATTTTCTTCTTGTTTGAAAGCTTGTAGTTGGACAGGTGAATAATGCAACATCTCACCTGTAGTAAGTCAGGCTACTCGCTAGGCATTTACAATAACTTTGTAAATACAATGTAGTTCACTGTAAATAATTTGTTAATTTGAATAAATGATGAGACGTTTATGTTTTTGGACCGTGAGAGGAAATTGCAGACAGTCCCTTTGACTGGTCTCTGCGCAGGCGCACAGCTGAGTTGAGTTTTTCTCGGAAGTCACAAACTCCTGCAAGCTTTTGTTTTTCTTTTGGATTAGTTAAAGACTTTCACCGGTGGAGAATGGCGTAGATGATTTTGTACCTGAAGTAAGACATAATCAAAAATGTATAGATATCATTTGTGAAACTTTGTGCTCAGTTGTTTTACTGAAGTTGTGTGTTTGAACAGAAACGCGTTTAGACCAGACAACCATTATTGAAAACAGGTAACTTAGAGAAGTCAAAAATACGAATGAATGTTGAAGACAAACTCTCTAGGTCTAGGATGAATTGGTCAGACAGACCAAAGGGTTATTCAGTATGTGAATCAATGTACGTCAAAGGCTGCATCAAGTCTAATTTGATATTTGCTGATAAATTATGGACTGTATAATCTCTGAAATCTATTGATATTTAAATAATTTAAATTATTGTCGAGATAATTAATCACTAATGAAGTGATTAATTACCATTAAACAATACTTCTCGATAGACAAATCATGCAGTTTCAGATAGATATGATTATATACAGTATATAGACGCATATGAGCACATGAAGCATCATCTACCATAATCTCCATATTCTGCTCCATTATTGCTAATGTATTATATATAACCCTGACCTGACATAACTTTTAACTTGTTTTGAGACTCGTCAGACTTTCATATACAACAACACACACTATAGTGACTAAACTAACCCTAACCCAGACTTTAAAGCTGAGTGTTTTGAATGTTTCCTCTGATGATGATGATGATGGTGATGGTAGAGTTATGGTTTAAGTTAGCCAGAGATTTTCTTACGGTAGGGTCCAAACCCACTCAACTCTTGATATTGGAAGCAACTCTTATCAATATATTTATCAAGTAAAATATTGATAAGATTATCCTAAAATGCATGATTACAGCTAGAAAGATTCAGACTTTGTTCCCAACAGTTCAAGTACATACTCTTTCATTTAAATATGCTTTAACACACACACACACACACACACGGAGCGGAGTGGCTCGCCGTGATTGTGCTGCTGATGTAGATGTGTGTGTTGCAGATTTCCCAGAGGTCCCCCTGAATGATGCGGGTGCCGCTGTGGTTGTGTGTGTGTGTCCTGACGCTGGACATGAGCGCGAGCCACACACTCTTCACCTGTGAGCCGGTTCGAGTGCAGTGGTGTGTCCAAATGCCCTACAACACCACCTTCTTCCCCAACATGCTGGAGCACTACGACCAGGACATCGCTGCGCAGAAGATGAAGGTGTGTGTGTGTGTGTGTGTGTGTGTGTGTGCTGGAGCACTACGACCAGGACATCGCTGCGCTGAAGATGAAGGTGTGTGTGTGTGTGTGTGTGTGTGTGTGTCTGAGCACTACGACCAGGACATCGCTGCGCTGAAGATGAAGGTGTGTGTGTATGGCTGTCAAACGATTAATCACATCCAAAATAAAAGTTTGTGTTTACATAATATATGTGGGTGCAATGTGTATAATTATTTTAGATATATAAATACACACACATGCATGTATATATTTAATAATTATTTTCATATCTATACTGTATATAGATTTATATATAATTTATATTATATATAAATATTTTATACATGTATAATATTTTTTTTCTTAAATATACATTCATGTGTGCATATATATATATATATATATATATATATATATATACACACAAAATAATTATATACAGTGCACCCACATATATTATGTAATCACAAACTTTTATTTTGGATACAATTAATCGTTTGACAGCCCTATGTGTGTGTGTGCTGGAGCACTATGACTAGGAGATCGCTGTGTGAAGATGGTGTGTGTGTGTGTGTGTGTGTCAAGTCACATTTATTTATATAGCGCTTTTTACACTACAGATTGTATCAAAGCAGCTTCACAGTGATAACATGAAAATAATACGACACAGATCAATAATATTGATGAATACTAAATGTCCCCAACTAAGCAAGCCAAAAGGAAGGCAACACGGTGTGTGTGTTGAGCACAGAATGATCTTTTTTTGCGCAGTGTACCTTTAATTGGATAACTGACATTTCAGTCCGATCACCAGTTCCTGTTTGTGTTCTGCGAACGTAAACGGATCCAGAGAGAGAGAGTAGCAGATCTACTGTAGAGGACAGATCTTCTGTGCAGGAGTGTTTATTAATGCATCGGTCACCCTGAGGTCAGACTGACATTAAAGAGTAACTAAACACTTAACCAACTTTTTTTAGTTAATGATCTGTAAGAATGGATCTTTATTAATACCAGTCATTGATTCGAGTAACTTTTTTGGCATTTGTTTATAAAGTGTTCTGTTTCTACAATATATGGTGTAAAAGCGTCTTAGTGCTGCCCTCTTCAGGTTGAACGGTGGCTACTGCAGTTGAATTTTCCTATTGGATGTTTGAGGTGGTACGTGACACAGCGGTTGTTGGTGACGTAGGCAAGTTCCATACACAGAGATGCGTCTCAGGTGCACGCCCCCCTCCGCTGGGCTCCGCCCACTTTTCCAGCATTTTTCAAATATTGCCAGTGGGCGGAGTCAGGCTCTGACCAGGGGTTTAGTTACCCTTTAATACACTTCCTCTGCAGTGAGTCTATCTCACCAACTGTTCATGCGCTTCGTTCTCCCTCTCTTCTTGTTGTGTGTGTGTGTGTAGCTCTTCATGCCGCTGGCCAACCTGCGCTGTTCTCCAGACGTGCATCTGTTCCTGTGCCAGGCCTTCGTTCCCGAGTGCCGAGATCACACACGCGTGCTGCGCCCGTGCCGAGAGCGGTGTGAGCGCGTGCAGAACGACTGTAGCAGAGACATGCTAACCTTCGGGATCAGCTGGCCGTCAGAGCTGCAGTGCGACCGGTGAGAACACACACACACACACACACACACTGTTACACTGGCCAGTGGCATTAACTGCTAACTCTAGTGTTACATGTTGGTCATCTCATATTTTTCTTTAGGACTGTTCATAACTTTAAGTCCGTTATATAGAAACGTAGACTAGTCTAATTTGACCCTGAAAGGTCAGACTGTAAATCTGGTTGGTCACACTCTTGACATGATGACTGTGTCTATGAAACTAGCCCCAGGCCTAAGTCTGTTTTCAGAGCTGTACGTTGTTTTGATTTGTATGTTGTTTTTTCAGATTGGAGTCGTGCCGCTTTTCTCCGGATGGTTCTGCCGTCTCCGCCGTAGAGGAACTGACCACATCCAGAAGCTCGCCGTCGTCCGGTCGGGATCTGGGGTTCTGGTGTCCGCTGCATCTGAAGACTCGGACCGGTCAGGCCAGCTCTTTCCTCGGCGCTCGAGACTGCGCTCCGCCCTGCGATAACATGTTCCTGAAAGCACACGAGGTTCAGTTGGCTAAGACCTTCATCGGCGTGTGCTCCGCCGTGTGCTTGTGCGCTACTCTCTTTACGTCGCTCACCTTCCTCATCGATGTCCAGCGGTTCCGTTACCCCGAGCGGCCCATCATCTTCTACTCCGTCTGCTACACTTGTGTGTCTCTGGTGTATTTCATTGGTTTTCTGCTGGACACGGAGGCGGCGTGCGTGGAGCCGAGTGTGCCGGGCCGCGCAGCTACGGTAGTGCTAGGAGCCCAGAGCCGCGGCTGCACGCTGCTCTTCATGCTGCTCTACTTCTGCTCCACCGCAGGGATGGTGTGGTGGGTCATCCTCACCATCACATGGTTTCTGGCCGCAGGGCCCAAGTGGAGCTGCGAGGCCATCGAGAAGAAGGCGGTGTGGTTCCACGCGGTGGCCTGGGTATCCCCGGAGCGCTTACGGTTTCGCTGCTAGCACTGGGAAGGTGGAGGGAGACAGCGTGAGCGGCGTATGCTTCGTCGGCCTTTACGATCTGGCAGCACTACGCTGGTTCGTCGTGGCGCCGCTAGCCCTCGGGGTTCTGGTCGGCCTGTCACTGTTGCTCGCCGGCATCGTGTCTCTGAACCACGTGCGGCAGGTGATCCAGCACGACGAGCGCAACCAGGAGAAGCTGAAGAAGTTCATGATCCGCATCGGCGTGTTCAGTGGCCTGTACCTGCTGCCGCTGCTGGTGCTGCTCGGCTGCTACCTGTACGAACAAGCCCAGCGCGAGTCCTGGGAGAACAGCTGGATCCGCCGGCACTGCCAGGAGTTCAGCATCCCTTGCTCCCGACGGGTGAGACTCCCTGACCCTATCCCTGACCCTATCCCTGACCTTATCC